GGGCAGAGAACGTGTTCGTATGCCGACGGGACCGCGTCAAAGGGGAACTCTGACTGTAAGGTAGGAAGCTGAAAGAAAAGAACGGTGCCGGAGAGGGAGAAAAGGGGCAGGGTCTGCGCGGTCTGCATAGAGAGCGGTTCGTCACTTTGATATATCAATAGGGGGGCTTTTCGTAATTAACGGACGACACTCGGTTTATTAAAATGTTCTACTTTTGTTTGCCTCCTTTAAAAACCGCTCCTCCATTAAACTCGAATAAAAAAAGGATCACTCCGTAATACCTCCGCAATTTTGATCATCATGTTTTTTTTTAAATCTCACTTATGACGTCACCAGGCCGAAAAGTTGATTTCTAGCAGGGGGCGTTTAAGTAAACGCCCCCTGCCAGAAATCAACTCTTAGGATCCGGTTAATGAATTATTATACGTCTTCCGATTGGTTAATTAAAGATCGGAAATGAACGAAATGGTTATTTCAAATAAAACTATTTAATTAAAAGCTTCTTTCTCGTCCGGAAAAAAGTAGAAGTCGGTTGTTTTGGAGCCAAGTTTTGGTTCATTCGTCAATTTATCCAAAATGGAGTTCGGAAACACTCGAAGATTCGGTTCCTCTACAAATCTTTCAGCATCTCGATCTTCCGCAGAAACGTTAAGACATTTGCCGTCGAGCCTCTTCTTTACGAACTTTTTAAAAGGCCTTCGGAAATGGCCGCCGATCGGTAATTAGAGTCTACAAAAATCCATTCCGTCATCGATCCTGGCGTTTGTAACGCGCCATTTTCTTAAAAAACAGAAAGTTCCGTTCGAATACCTTATCCGAACTTCGCTCTCGTTTGTCGAATAAAAATTTTTTTGACAAGTTTAGAAGCCCGAAGGCCCGAAAACTAGGCTAAACGTAAAGGAAAAAACCTCGAGTCGAATGTTAATCGATGTCTTTTAAAATGTCTTAAAGCATAAATGGGTTATGTACGATCTAAACAGAAAATCAATGGCAAAATAGAAAAATTGTATTTATTTACAGAATTTAGTATATAAATTCTTTTTTCTGTCGATAAAATTTGATATTATTTATAACCGACGATAAAAATGTCATTATTTAACATTAAAATTGATAAGTAAAAGAATTCACTTTTAGAAACGATTCAAAAATTTGTTTTTGTACTTTAAATCGCGACATGTCATAAGAATTTTACGTATTTTAACTTTAATTAAATGAATTAAATAATTATTTAAAGCTCGCATCGTTGTTTTTATGCCTTTATCATCTCTACATATACAAAACTATAACTTAAATACGGTTAATATATTCCAAATTAAATTGCATTTAGGAAAAAAAGTGTCATTCGATCGTTTAAAATTTGAAAAGAGTGGCGGAAGCACGGCACGGAATTAGCTATAATTTAAATAATAATAGAGGTAGAAGCGAAGTTATCCGATAGATTCTTTAACGTGATTCGTGCCATACAGACAAACGGACGTATAAGGTAAAAGAGCGGTGCGGCGTTTAATCTTTCTTATTAGGTCATTAGGAAAAACGATTATTATTCGGGTCGGGGGCTAATATCCGATTCCATCATAAAACTATTAGTTGGTTAAAGACACGCACTCCTACCTGGACTGGGTAATTCATTAAGAGGTGAATAGAAACTGCATGCAGCGGACAATACGGAGTCGAAGTGCATCGGCATTAAATAGTTATGAAGAGCAATCCCCGCTCTTCCGTTCTGCCTCCAACCCCGATTAATCGGAGTGGTAACTATTAGTCCGGCTTGATATATTCGCCACGTTAGCCAAAGGGACATAACCGAGAGAGCTAATTAAATACCATTAAATTACCGGGTAACAAAAGTATTGCGAAATGACACGCGAACAGACCTATACTCGTTTAATTACCGAAATTAATTCCGCTATATTAGAAGAACGGAGGGGGAAAAGAGAGAACTTTGTATTTCGAACCCGATCTTTTTGGAATAATTAAAATACGAAGTTTTTCCGTCTACAGTTACTGCGGTCCTATTTCTTCGAAGAGCAATATTTGCGGCCAGGGGGCGTGAGGTCGGTCATCTATCAATGCTATGGCGTTTTCGTTAGTGGCCGCAACTCATTCTGGAAATGGATAATAATTGGTAGTAGTCGGCTTCGTGGTTTGCGATATCGATAATCGACTCGTTAAGTATATTCCTCGTACGTAATTTTCTACCAATTACTTGATTGTTTCTCTACCAGATTCGAATAAAATTCGCCGTGGAAAACTTCGACCTTCCGACCTCGTGATTACGCATAGCGTGGACTATTTTTTTTTATTACGTCACCGTTAAATTTCCATCGTTTAGAGAAACAATTTACTAGAAATATTTGTATTTACATTTTTAAAAGCGCCGGCCTAACTTTATTCTCTCAAATCGTCCGACGCTTATAATATATTAAAAATTCCTGACGTTCTTTCAGGACCGCATATATTTTACCTTCCGACTAATTCTACGTTCGGTTGTTTTGTGCTGCCACCTCTCGGACGAACGATGTAATTTTCTTTACGAAACTTAATTACGGACGTCGGAAACTGGTTTTTGGATACGTCGCGCGCATGCGTATTGTAGTCGGCGTTACAAAGTTCAAAGCCTTGTCTTAATATTGAAAAAAAATACAAAAAAAGTCATTCGAGACGACATTCACTTTACAAAATATACCAAAATTTAACGTTAGCCAACGTGAATTTAGTTAAGGAGTTATAATAATCGGTGACGTAACAATTTTTTTGGCACGTTCCCACCAGTTCGAAACGTCAATAAAGATATTTACTTATTAAATTTTGAAAATTCGCCGGATTCCAATGGGGAAAATGGGACGAATCGCTCCATTTTGTTACTCTAAAAACTCGGAGGAGGAGTATTTTTGGAAATCTGTAATCCGCGGGCAACGATCGATTCTTCAAAAAAATCTTTTCTAACGTGTTCTAAATCAGCTTTTGAAATATTTTAAACCAAATTTTTTTTGTTATATATTAAATTTACCGTTTACCTAAAATTGGCGCAAACACCTTTAAAGGTAATTTAGGCGAATGCTTGATGCTTAGAACTGACCTTTTAATAATACTTTCCGAGCACCGAAATATGTTAGTCATGGTGTACCACTCGACTAACGTTTAAATGTTTTTTTCTGTTTTTCGCAGATAGCAGCAGCCATATTTTCACGTAGAGTCGCTATTTTCCGGTCAGAAACATGAGAAAACATTTTAAAAAAATCGTTGGTTAGAGTGGAATTACCCCTTTTACGGGGGTAGGAAATTCCACGAAAATTACCGACCGACAATTTAAATATATTTAAAGTGGCGGAGATCCGTAAATGGTTTATTTGCATTTGGAAGGACCATCGAGTAAATCCGTTTCTTTGATTGTCATTAAGTGCAGTATCGAGTCGAGAGTCGAGCGTGGAAAATGGAGTCCATCTTCTCTTTACCAAAGACGAGATATAAGAACGATTTTATCTAAAGCGTAATAATAAAATGCCGGTGGTGGCACCTATCTACAAAACAACGATGGTTAACCAATAGGGTAGTTAGCTATTAAAGGGTTAAGAAGAGTAAGTCCGAGTATCGGATCGTATAATCGTTGCAGACAATCAGACTCTCTTAATGTGGATAACAATTTAAATTATCCACGGCTTTATTTCATTATCTCTAATTATAGATGTTATTGCAGATAAGTGTGACAGTCTGTTACGTGTTACGTCTCATTATCTGGCCTAACCGAATCTCCGGTAGGCCATTATTTTTAATAGGGAGCGCGATAAAAGCGAGCGATGTTATTACGAGGTGACTTCTCAGATCGGTTATAGTGTATATATATATTGTTTTCGAAAGGGAACAACGAAAATTATTGTCAAATTCACAAAATTTCTCTCTCTCTCGTAAGACGTAACGCGGCAGGGGAGGAACAATAGCGAATTTAAGAGTGGGGGAGGAATTAAAGCGGAGGGAAAAACATCTGGTCCCACGACTGGTCTCTATGTCAACGTTAAAATTTTACAGGGCCTAACATATAATCTGTTCTGCTCCAACGAGTTGCCGTTCCTCTCGAACTCCTGCGGGAGTTGGAGAATCATTACTTTGAACGAAGCCGCTCGTCTGAGGAGATGGCCGATACCAAAAGATTGCATTCCTTAATACCGATCCTACCGACCGACCTTGGCTCGTTTACCCCGATTTTACACCTTATCCGACGCATTTGTTTCCGCATTATAACGTTTAATTATTATTTAGTACGCGCTTTATCGTCGTAGGAGCGGAGGAGGCCGACAAAGGCAAAAAAGAAAAAAAATGGTTAAAAAATTGTTGTTGTTGCGAGCATCCCATCCGCAGTTTGGTAGCTACTTTCACTAATTTCTTTAAAAGGCGGGAGCCTATTCAACATACTTTTAAGTAATATCCTTTATTTTGGGGCGGTGTGTAGAAACCCACTTGTCGATATTCCATTCAGACAAACTACTTAATACTTTCTTCGGCTAATGAAGTGATTATAAAAACTATTCACGGAAGAGATAGTCTCACTTCTAAGGCTTTTCTTTGATGGCAGCTCGTTCGATTGATGAATAGATTCGCCGCCGCTTCCTACAATATTCGCATTTTGCTACGTGGTGTAGCCAGTGCTTTGGCTTTTCCAAAAATTATCGATCGCAGCGGATAAATGTTTTGTCTTTACATCGATTAAAATTGATAAATTAATATGAAGAGCGGTAGAGGAAAAAGAAGACGTTCGAGCTCCTGCTCTTCTTCTAGTTCCTTTCTCTTTTGGTTCTACTTCCAACCTTCGACTGGAAATTTTTAAAATACTGGTCGAATTTTTGGTTACTCGGGGGTATCTTTTCAAAGAAAGCCGGGATTTCTAGTAGCGGATTTCGCTTAGTTTACAGTTGGAGGAAAGTTCGCGTCGTGACAGTAAAGCAATCAATCAAGCTACAATCCTACGAGGAGATGGAAGCGAATGCCATTTTCGCAGACTAGCGGTTAAGACTTCTTAAAGGCTGCCAAATCCTTAACAATAACTGCGCTAACAATAAGTGTCGGTTATATAACCGAGTGAGTAATTTATGTAGAGAAATCCAGCAGACAAATAGAATTATCTACTTTATTTCAATTGATGTCATCGGATACACTTCTATATGCATATGTATATAAATGCCCATCCGTCTTTACATTTTAGACTCCCTCCCACTCCAATAATATACAGTGAGCAGCCTTATGTAGCGGTCATTACAGACGAAGGATCACTGTTACGACTCATCAACCACAGACTGCCAAGGACACTTTAGTTCGGTGTCCCAGAGATCTCGGGGTATCGGGAGAACCGGAGCATTGACCTTTACATTTATAATCACTTCGGAACTAACAGATCTTGCATTGGTTCACTTTAAAAAGAAAAAAAAAGAAAAACGAGATAGCAAAAGTCAAACGTAACAGCGCACGGTTCAGTTTATTTATTTATTTTTTATTTTTTTCCTAAAGAAGAAAAAAAGGGGCCACTCAAATATATGACTTGATTTCATTGGCAACACTTTTAGCGTCCAAAAATTTATTTTCCTTCTCGGGGTAAGCTGGAATGCTTTCTATAATCGCTAAGAGTAGGATCCAACGAAGTCAAGTGCTGCTCGATGTATACGCTGTCACGTGCTAATACTGAAGGATTTCTGATGCCGAAGCACTCCTAACTCTTCACTAACTCTGTCCCTTAAAAAAAAGAAGAAAAAGAAAGACATAAGTCTAAATTTAGGTGAGAACCATCGGTTTTCAACACACCGGTTAATGTTTAACTTCGCAGTGAGACGTCTCTCTTAAGAGACAATCCGTCTTCGGACTTTGCTACCGATTTTAAAGCCCTATTAGTTGTCGATTTGAAAAAAAGAAATCCACCGCTAACATCCGAAGTCTCGGCAACTTCCTCCCTCCGAAACTATTAAACAATGTTTGGAAGTGACCCTCTCACCTCGGTAAAGGCCATTAACTGATTCTTTGACCACGGGGAGGAGAATGAAGGATGGCTTTCTCTGTTCCAGGTCAGGTAAGCGAGAGTGGACAACTCGCAAGCAAGAGTAACGATCCTCGGTCGGCATCTTTGACATCACGATCATATTTCTTGGTGCGGTCGACCCATAAAAGAAAAGTGACCAGAAGTCCATCGGGAAGTAAAAATCGATGGAAACACTACTGACATACATTCGATAGCCGACAGATAATACAGATGATAATAATAATTTACCTTTGAATCCTGTTTCTGGCACCGCGGCTGAAAATAGAATAAAAAGATTTTTATTTGATGCCACATTTCATCGAATTAACCGATTTCGTATTCTGCCAGTTAACTAAATTACCTTTCAAATAATCTTCCATAACAATGGTCTCTTCGCTCGGTTCATCTGCCTGAGGAGAGAAAAACGTCAAAGTAATTACAACGTTGTCCGATGACAAATTACCAACATCCACCCAAAATTATGTACACTTATATTTACAGGGTTTCTATCAGATAGGATTTCTAGAATGCCTCCAGGCTACATCCAACGATATTTCATCTGTGCTCCAGATGCCAGGTCGGCAAGTTTACAAACAGGATGTTTCGACCGGGTGACTGCTCTGGTCAACAAACCCGTTTCCCCAAAACACCACCACGTTGGTGTCTCGCTCTCTACGTATCCACGAAACTATCCCCCCTCCGACTCGTCGATATTCTTAACAAATTAAAATGACAATTCGAGCAGTACTTATATACAACTGTTGCATTTTTTTAGAAAGGGTCAATACAAGAAACTGCTCCCGTTTCCTGTTGAAGAGCAGTTAGGATGACAAAATAAATTCCGTCGTTTGTTTGATCCGGGGGGATAATCTGATAAAAATAAATGTCGACTTATAAGTTTACGAGTTTTATTATCCCGATCGGAGCGAAAATTTCACTTGTTACATCTGACTAATGCTTATTGATGGTGGTCGCATCGATCTGGACTAGTCTCTCTACGATGACGGTTTTAAGTATTATTTCGTCCGTCTTCGACTATTCCAAGTTTTTAAGCGAAAATTTATTCTTATCACGTGAAGTGCTACTGATTATCCTACTAAAGCTCCAGATAAGTTTCAATCATTTATCTCTCGTACGTGATATGAAACCTTCGCTCATTGAATTGATAATGGTGCGAGTGTTTTTTAAATATCTTCTTTTTAATCATATTACTTTGCATTATTAAAATTTAAACTTTTGAATCAATTAAAATTCCCTTTTCTTTCCATTCTCTCCCTTTACTTAAACTCATCAGCTATCTTTCATCAGTGTTCAAAACGTATAGCATTCAACAGCATCCTCCTCCTCCTTATTCCCTAAGTGAATCTAGTTAAGTTAAATAACTTTAAAATATAAGATAGTGAATGCCACCAGTTACAATTCTTATTTTAGCATGTCAGATATTATTAAAGGAGCTAGAATTATCAAATGAATCACTAAATGCATTTACTACTTTTCACTAGTGTTCTAACCTTATAGACACCATCCTCCCTCCTCATCCTTGAAATGAATCCAGTTAAATATAATAAAAAAATAAAATACTAAATGTCAATAGTAATAATTCTTATTTTAGAAAGCCAGATAACACTAAAGGTGATAAAATTATCGAGCAAATTTATAGTTAACCAATACTAATAGTAACAGAGTCCTACTTCTTACAAACTAACTGAAGCAGCATTAAAATTAATGAGACCTGTCCTGGCACAAAAAAGAGATATCAGAGGTCAAAGTTCCAAAAAGTCCATTTGGAAGAGGAAGAACTTCTTTTGTAAAAATGAATTTTGTACTATATTATTATATCCTTTCGGCATGGATGAGATAATTAAAAACTCTAGAAACAATTTAAAAGCATTAGAAGAAAGGGTAAAAGAAGAAGGGCTGTTTCTAATTCTTACCTTTCATTTACATAATGAGATAAATATGAGCAATAGAACATTTTTATAAATAAAATTAGAAGGGAAAAAAGCAAATTTTCATATAATGAAATAACGAAAATCCCGAAAAACATATTTATTTACTTACTTCTAAAAATGTTTTTGAGTATATAAAAGAGAGTTTTTGATATTGAAATGTCGGACTTGGGCCTGGAAGCATATTTGTTTTAAAGCAGTAGATATTCATTCATAAAACAGTGCCAAAAGTCATTTACACTAATTTAAATATTGGTAATTTTCCCTTTTTTTTCTTTTTTTAAAAAAAAGACAAATTTTTATCATATTTATAATTCTTGCTAAAGCAAATATCATCTTAATATCTTTGATTAAATATAATGATTATAATTATGTAAAACTATAACAAAACTTAATCTACTAAGAAAAATGCTTTTTATAAAAAAGGTTTGAATTTTAATAACAATAATTCATTAAATAAATTATAAAAGATTTAAATGATTTAATTAGTGTTTTAAAACACTGTTTATAACAAAATCTATATAATTATAAATTTATTAGCATATAAAAAGATAAAATGCAAAGCTTGAAATAAAAGGATTAATTCTGAATACTTTTCTAAATGCATTATATTTTCTCGACTCATGAACAATTTCAAGCCATACAAATTTTTATATTTTATACGTAAATAAATCTTAAACGTAAAAAATAAACCTGCATTTATAAAAACCAAATACCTTCATTCTAAAGTAAATAGTGTAATATTTTATTAAAGATGACCTTAAGAAGATAAAATCCAATTTATTTGCTTTATGTATTTAACAATTTTATTATTTGTATACATTAACATTCATTCAATGAAATAAAATACTATATAGATTGGTCCAAAAGTCAGTTAACCGTGTTTTGTGTGTTCCAGATGCGCTTGTAAATGTGAGTTATAAACGAAATCTGTTAATGCATTATAATTTATGTACTTTATTATTTACAAACTTTATAAATATTGTTAAGTATTTGAATAAGATAGCAATTTAGGCTTTACAATGGTAAACTGATATTTGGGCAATCATATAAATTAACTTTTGAGTAAAAATTTAAATAATTTATCACTGATCTTATTTTTTGAAGTCCACTTAATTAATATATTCTCACGATTGTTTAAAAATAATCATGCTATTATAAATTACTCTATTGTATTGTTTCTGTTGTTTTAAAGTTTAATGGGAACTGTTAATTTTTTCAAACTGAACACTAACTGTACAAAACTATATTGTTTCTTCTGTTTAAACATGAAAATCAAGTCTTGTGACCAATATTTCCTAAGTAAGTAATAATATTTGGCAAAATATGACTGAAAGAAATGATGAACAATTGGACATTAATTCTCCACTGGAGAAAAACCAATAAGTAATAGGTCAAAACTGCACAGTGTGTTATTATATGTGGATTTGGTTCCCATAATGGAAATAAAGATTTCTTTTTATGTTCGTTTCTTTAAATGAGCACATAATTTATATGGTAAGTTTTATACCATACAAAATTACCTATTCAGTTAAGTGACTTCCTAAAAATTACATATCTGATTTAACAGAAACCATAGTCTAATTCATGAGGGAGTTCATAAAGATGTTCTTTGGTAATCACAGTTACAAGTCTTATAAGCACGGATGTTTCTCAATCAAAGAAGCATCCATCACTTAAGTGAATACTAAATTGTGTTTCATTAAAACAACCTATTTATCAAGATATAGCATTGATATTTTGATATATCAATGCTATACAATGCTAGAAACCCAATAAATACTCAACTTCAAAATGTGATGAAAATAATCAGATATCTTCAAAGCTGTTTCCTAAGCATTATCATTACAATATTTTATGAATAATTCTAATTGTTGTAACTTCTGAAAAAGACCAAATCATTTGATGAAGTTTCTGAACAGAGAGTCCATATTCTAAGAATAGACTTAGAATTCTAAAAGCATTTAATAAAATATTTATGAGGTAATTGCTAAAAAAATAATCCAATCTTTTTGTTATACAACATTAATAATTTGCCATAAATAAAGATTTTCAGTTAATAAAACATTAACTGTACTTTTTAATGAAATCTTAAATGCGTAACTCTTAATTCTATTAAACAAATTGTAAAATTTACATACATTTTTTACAATATAATCATCGATTAAAAGTGAAAAAAAATCAATGATAATCTATATTAAACATTTAAAAACAAATCCAGTTGAGAAGTGCCTGAGTTTTTGCAAAGCTATTAAAAATTAAATATCTCAAGGATTTAAATATTTATATCCCAAGCTTACTTTTAATCAAATATTTAATTACTGTATAAATAAATTAATAAATAAATAAATCCTTGCAATTTTAGTTTTAATTTAAATTGATTTACTTGACTTTTAATCTAAGAAAAATACTAAATAGTATTAAAATGATAAAACACAACATATTATATTTATTGATGATAATTAATACATACTGAATGTCTACATATATTCAGAATAAGCAAAATACTCTTATAAAATCTATAATTTTAATCACTATTTATATACAGAAATATACAAAAAATTATTTAGAAACTAATAAATTTATATACTAACAGATGGATTCTTGGATGTTCTTAGTTGCTAATTTTGTTTTGGCATTTTGCAGTCAGCACTAACAGTCACATTTGTCAGTTTAGAATGACGGTACAAAATGTAAAAGCTTTTGTGTACATATTTATTTAAAATATGGAATATTAATGGGTCACACTAAAAATTTGTTCATCAAATAACCAACACCTAAATACAATTTCCAGCAAACAATAAATAACAAATTTATTGCTTAAACATTTTTCACCATCATTTAGAGGCCTTCATCAGATGGAATGCGGCAAAGTTTGAATGATAGAACTGTTTTTTTATGTATTCATTCCTGATGAGGGTATCTAAATGATGGCTAAAACATTTGAGCAGTAAATTTGTTATTTATTGTTTGCTGGAAATCACATTTAGGTGTTGTTTATTTGATCATACAATTCCAGTTTATAAGTATGCCGTTTTTTTAAATTGTTCATTTCATAGCAAAGGCAGTAAAAGTGCTGCCTGCCAATTTGGAAGAATGTGGGTTCAAGTATTGGTCAGGAGCCTCAAACTTTTCATAAGCAGTCTGCCATTGATATGTTGTTCATCATCTGGCTACTCCAATTGTGGCATGGCTAAACTCATGATAAGCCTAAAAAAAAACAGCCTTCGTAGTGTTAATTAATTAGAGTAGAAAAAATTAAAAATTTAATACATATGTTTCATTTTATGTAATGTTAAAATGATGTTATGATTAAAAATTTTTAAGTTGTTATTATAATGTCATTTTTAATCTTGAAATGCATAAAATTCTGTGCATTGCATTGATAAGTATAGAATAAAATACTTTGTAGACTCTATCACATACTTTAAACAAATATGTGAATATAAATTTGCATACTA